GTCACTCTCCATGGCTGCAGGAGCTGCAGAGGTTGCACTTTCAGGATTTCTGGGCACGGACATCCCCAGGGAATCACAAGGGTGTGTGGGGCTGGCTCTCCTGTCCCAGCAATTGCAGTCAGAGCTCTGCCTTCTCTATGCCAGTCACAGGACCCTCTGTACCCGCTCCAGGCTTGTGGCTTCCTTCTTACCAACACTCCTCTCCACTCAGCCTTTTCCTGAACCAGCAGTTCCATGGGTGGCCAGGGGAGTCCTCTTCTGTGTCCCAGAGGGCCTAGGAAAATATGAGCAAAGGCTGCAACAAGGCACCACTGGGACTTGAACCCAGGATTTCCTGTTTATGAGGCAGGTGCTTTAGCCAACTAAGCCATGGTACCCACTTGTGAAAGTGCTTTAAAACTGTTCTACTTTAAGGTTTCATACATCTTTGAGTCTCAAAGTGCAGCCATTCCCCATTTCCCATCAGCCCTGGCAGTGTCTGGCTCCCTGGGTACAGAAAGTTACAGCTCCGTGGACAGAGACTCTAACATGCACATCTCCCCCAGCCAGTGGGACTGTAGAGTGGCTGGGGGTGAACTCTGGGCCATGGGAACCTTCCCATTTGCTCCTTATTCATCATTAGTCACTTGCCCAGATGTAGCCACAAGGTGGGGCTCCCTCTGCCTTCCACAAGCACTGGCAGGGTTTGCACGGCCTGGTCATTTTCTTTTCACAAGAAGAGATGAAAACACGGAGCCTCACAGACATGCTGGGTTCAGCAAGGAAGATGAATGTCACCAGGACATGATGCTCTGGAGTGTCTCTGCCTTGGAAAGTCCTAGGAGCATTGTGTGGGGCTTCAGCCTTGCTCCCTTACACAGGGCAGAGATGATTTCCTTGAGCGAGAGGGGAAAGTGAAGAGCAGCAGAGATATTTTGAGATAACTCTGGAAGCGTCCACACAGCCTTTCCGTTGTTTTGAAGGAATTTCAGAATAACAGCTGACTTATTTTGCCTTCTGTAACCCTCATTCTACAAGATATAACGGGTATTCTGAAATAGCTATGTTGGAATGTGGCATGTGTCGACGCTCCACTGCTTCCATTTTGAAATAGCCCCTCACCAGGGACCATTCTCAGTTATTCCTCCTCAGTGCCTCCTGGGGCTCTGAGTCGAGATAGCACGTCTACATTAGGGAAACCTGCGTTGGACAGATGTTGAGGATTCCATGCAATGTAGACTCGCTATTTCAGATTAACTGTTCCAGAATAGCTTATTCCAAAATAGTCGTGCAGTGCAGACGTACCATCAGTGACTTATGATGATTAGAGCAATAGGGTGAAATAACTGAGAAATGGGGATGTAGCGGGGGGAAAGGGGGCAAGGTTTCTATGAGACGCTGCTTGTTTTGGGGGTGAGAGGAGCAGGGAAGGAGATGCGTTAATGATGAAAAGGAAGGAGAAGAGTTGACCTACAGTTGGTAAGGGCACATCTACACACAGCAATTTTGTTATTTCAGAATTATTTAGAAATAATAAGCCCTCATTTCATGAGGAAAAACACTTCTTTCAAAATTGCCATTTTGAAATAGCACCAGTGTGGACACTCAACTGCTGCTATTTTTAAAAAATTACTCCCCAGAGTCATGTAATTAATACCTAGTGCTTCCTGGGACTTTAAACTCATTGGGCGCATCGAGACTGACAAAATTTTGCCGCCTGTCTACACTGGCCATGAGAATTTGCGCAAGAACACTGACATTCTAATGTATGAAATCAGTGGTTCTTGCGCAAATATTCTGACACTCCCCCTCAGAGATAAACCCTCTTGTGCAAGTATTCTTGCGCAAGAAGGCCAGTGTAGACAGGCAAGTTAATTTCTTGCGTAAGAAAGCCTGATGGCTAAAATGGCCATCGGAGCTTTCTTGTGCAAGAGAGCGTCTAGACTGGCATGGATGCTTTTCCGCAAAAAGTGCTTTTGCAGAAAAGTGTCCATGCCAATCTAGACGCTCTTTTCTGCAAATGCTTTTAACAGACAACTTTTCCATTAAAATCATTTGCGGAAAATCATGCCAGTCTAGATGCAGCCATATAGTGCATGCACCTTAGGGAAGCCAACCTTGGACTAATTTCTAGCCTTCCCTGTTGTGTGGACGAGCTATTTTGAAATACTTATTTTGGGAGCTATTATTTTGAAATAACCTTGTAGTGTCGACATACCCTGAGGCTATGTCTGGACTGGCATGATTTTCCGCAAATGATTTTAATGGAAAAGTTGTCTGTTAAAAGCATTTGCAGAAAAGAGCGTCTAGATTGGCATGGACACTTTTCTGCAAAAGCACTTTTTGCGGAAAAGCATCCGTGGCCAATCTAGACGCGCTTTTGCGCAAAAAAGCCCTGATCGCCATTTTCGCCTTTGGGCCTTGTTTGCGCAGAACAATACCGTGTTGTCTACACTGGCCCTCTTGCACAAAAGCATTTGCAAAAGAGGGCTTTTGCTCGAGTGGGAACGTCAAAGTATTTGCACAAGAAGCACTGATGTTGGATATTACAAAGTCAGTGCTCTTGTGCAAATTCAAGCGGCCAGTGTAGCAGCTGCTTTTGCGGAAAAACTTGCCAGTCTAGACACAGCCTAACTGAGTGGGAGTGACACAGGGAGGAGCAGCTCAAACATGCCAAGGGGCTGGCCAGGAGCCCTGCAAGGCAGCACTGACATCACAAGAGCCTTTTGCTGCAACTTAGCTCATTTCCCCAGGCTGCAGCAGGCAGGGCTGGTACTGAACTGAAGAGAGCTCTCAGAGAGGCAAGGTTGCAAACATCCAGTGAGGATGGGATCTGAGCCCACACGTGTAGAGCACAATGGTTTAGCAGTCCATTGCCTTAACCACTAAGCCACCTCACCTGGGCTACAGAAGCTTCTTTCAAACTACCCAAAGTCATTACTGCTGGGAACCTTTGTGCCGCTCGCTGGCTGGCCAGCCAGGGACACCCAGGCTATGTCCATACTGGTGGCTTCTTGTGCAAGAAAACATCCACACGGCCATGTGGGAGATGTGCTTTTGCACAAGAGCATCCATGGCAGTGTGGACGCTCGCTTGCACAAGAAATCTCTGATGGCCATTTTAGCCATAGGGCTTGTCCACACTGCCCTCTTGCTCAAGAGTTCCTGTGCAAGAGGGCTTACACCTGTTAAAAAAGAGCGTAGCTCTTGCGCAAAAAGCCCTCTCTTACCATACCGTACTGTAAATTTCCTTGCGCAAGTGCAGGCAGGCAGTGTGGATGCTCTGCGGATTCTTGCGCAAGAATGGCCACACTTGCGCAAGAAACCGCAAGTGTAGACATAGCCCCAGGGTGGGAAGGTTTTGGCTTTTCACAATGTTCCCTGGGCTCTTGTAGAAATCTCAGTGCTGGTAACAAACTCAAACACCCCCTGGGTGCCCATAGGTGGGCTGGCTAGTCACAGTCTGGCTCGGAGCAATCTCTGCAGTGGGAAGATGCCCGTGGGGCAGTCACATGACAGCAGCACACGGCTCTGTTCACTCCACTATGTCGCGTGTGATCCCTGCTGTCCTGTGCTGTTCTGTATTAACTCTGCATGTGCCTCAGTTTCCATGGGCACCGCACCACTATGTAAATGGGGATTGGAATTTTGGGTGTGCCTCACTGAGGCCTGCTCTGTACTAGGCTGGGCTGG